TAGGACATGTCAAATAAAATAAAATTTATACTTTAAATATACGATACATCATACTCTAATAACTCAATAAATGTATGTCTAGTAAAAAAATAAAAATTAAAAAGACACTAAATCATAACTTACGTTTGCATAATATTAAATTAATAATTAACCACAGTAGATTTTATAACACATGAAATATGAATATTTTATTATTTTATAAAATAAAATTAATATTTCAAACATAAAAAAAAAAATTTATGTATGGCTCAAACTTAGTCCATAAAAAGATTGAATGTCACTCAAACCCATATTTCTTATTTCAATTAGTCAAAACAAGCTCATACGACAACGACATGCATATAAAGCTATATAATGGAACACATTTATACGTACACATGTAAGTGTGTACATTCAATTATACACAGACGTGCATATGCAAGGAATCAAATTTCAATTACATCAGTAGATACAAACAGGTATTCGTCGATCCAATTTAGTTGTCAATATTTAATTTATTATTATTATTTTTTCTCTGTGATACTGCACTCATCAGTATTATCTTAGTCTCCTCGGTAATTAGAGCACGCTTTCTTTACCTTCAACATTAAGATGATGTATTTAGATTTTTATGACTCTTTATAATTGGATAAGATATATAATATAACTAATTAGATTTTGTTAAAATATTTTAGTCAATATGATAGAAGTTCTTAGGAGATAAACTTGATGTGAGATTTATAGAAAGAGACGAGAAAGGATCTAGTTTCTCTTTGCAGATTGATTTCGATTTTGGATTAAAAACGGTATTTTTAAACAAAAATTTTTGAATCAGATGTCGCACACCACCGTAGAGATGCGCTCCGGCACTATGAGAAGAGAAGAAGCAAATGACTTGTGTAAGTCGAGTGAAGCTGGAAAGAAGCAATATATCAGAATACAATTGCACGCACTGATGCTACTAAGAATTCTGGATGAAGTAAATGGTAATACCTCTACAAGCCAACGGGACCAGCCGGCTCTAATCACACTTCTTGCTGCCATGCTTGCGAAGTATACGTACACTTTGCAGCACACATTTAAGAATGTATTAAGGGTAGCATATAAAGAATCAAATTTCAAAAACCTCAGTGTCCATCTCCTATCTTTCTTTCTCTCTCTCTCTCTCTCTCTCTCTCTCGCTCGCATTTCAACTCCTTTCGGTCGGTATGCATGTCTGATTTTGGATACTCATACGAAATGCATCTTCCTGTACTCGGATAAGACACTAAACATCATTACTAGTCCATATCAATACCAATATATTACAATACCTCTACTGGTATATTACGATACGGAATACATCTTCCTATACTTCGAGCACGCTTTCATTACTTTTAATTTTAATTTCAAATACCGATATATTACCATTACTTTATTTACTTTATTGGAGACACTAAACATCATTGTTATTTAATTTTAATTTCAAATACCGATATATTACAATACCTCTACTGGTATGTATCGGTCCGACTAAACATCGTTACTAGTCCATATCAATACCAATCGGTATCAATATCGCTTAGACTTGCAGTGGGACTATCTACGAGTTAATACCTTATTTAAAAATTTTAATCATCTTAAATCGATAAAAAAAATAATTTTAAATATCTTATAATAATGTATTAATAATTCGAAAGAAGTTTGGATTAGTTTGTTCGAAATTAACTCAGGTTACACTCGATTATACATTTAATCTAAAAATACTCAATTTAGAAATTTAATCACCCTAAACTCATAAGAAATTGAGAAAAATGATGCTATATATCTTAGAATCATATGATAATAGTTTTAGAGAAGTTTAGATTGATTTAATAAAAATTAACTCGAATTACACTTGATTACATATTCAACACAAAAATACCCTATTTAAAAAATAATCATCTTACATTCATACAAAAAAAAAAAGTGATATTAAACATATTAACTTCTCACCATAATAGTTCCAAAAAAGTTATACTCAAGTTATACTTGATCACAAATTCTACCCAAAAATATCATATTTCAAAAATTAATCATCCTAAATTCATAAAAAATAAAAAATAATATTGAACATACTATCATCTCACCCCAGTAATTTTAGAGAAATTTAGATAGATTTGATAAAAAAAAAAATAACAAGTTACACGTGATCACCGATTCAATCGAAAAATATCCTATTTAAAAATTTATTCACCCTAAAATCATAAAAAAAATACTAAATCTCTTAGAATCATGTGTTAGTAGTTCTGGAAAAGTTTGAATCAGTTTGATGAAAATACTTTGATTATACTTTAGTTACACTCATATTACACTCATTCATAAATTCATCAAAGTTTGACTCAATCCATTGTGATCCGACTCGATCCAATCCGATTTGACTCGACCTAACCCGAACCATGATGCTTAGACCGGATTAAACCAACCTGTGGATCTATGCTTGAAAAATGATGCAAAATATCTTATAATAATATGCTAATAAGTCTAGAGAAATTTAGATTAGTTTGATGAAAATTAACTCGAACTATACTCGACTTATACTTGATCATAGTTTCAACACATAAATATCTTATTTAAAAAATTAATCATCATAAATTCATACTGAAATAGAAAAAAATGATACTAAACATATTAATATCTCACTCTAGTAGTTCTAGAGAACTTTAAATATGTTTAATGAAAATTCAAAAGATTATACTTGAGTTACACTTGATTATAGATTCAACCCAAAAATATTTTACTTTAAAAATTAATTATTTTAAATTTATATAAAGATAAAAAAATTATACTAAACATATTATTATTTTTTTGTAGTAGTTTGGAAGAAATTTGGATAGATTGATAAAAAAATTAATAAGTTATACTTATCACCAATTCAACCCAAAAGTACCCTATATAAAAATTTATTCATCCTAAAATCATAAGAAGTTAAAAAAATGATACTTAATAATCTAGAATCATGTGCTAATAGTGAAGAAGTTTTGATTGATTTGATAATAATACCTTGGTCACACTCGAGTTATACTTATGTTACACTCAGGTTATATTCATTCATAAATTCAATAAGGTTTGACTTTGATATATTGCTACCACTTGAGATGATTTGATTCAAACCACTATACCCAAAATGGAATTGGATCAACCTATAGATTTGTGGCTTGGAAACAAGAATTTTCTCGAAGATGATCTATTTCATTTTCAATATAAGTATATTCATGACCTTTTTAATCATACCAAAATACTTAAAACCAACAGTATCACTATACTAATATCTACATGTATTCCACTTACCTCGTTTGACGGAGCTAATTCTAATGACACTATTGAATATCATCAAGTTGTTGGTAGTCTATAATATTTGATATTCACTCGTTCAAACATTATATAATATAATAAATAAGTTATCTTAATTTATACACAAGTCTACTTTCAATCATTGGATAACTATTGAGCTCTTGGGTATTTAAAGGACATTATTGATCATAACTTATTTCTTCAAAAAGGCTATCTTTATTACTTCATTTATTTTTGGATGTCAATTGAGTAGGTAATAAGGATGACAGGACATTTATAAGTAAATTTTATTTTGTTACAATTTAATCTCTTAGAGTTTCAAGAAAAATGCTCTATTATGAGATTTTTATGAATGTTGAATATTGGATCGTTGTTTTTATAATTATTGAATTTTGTTGGATTAAATGATTGCTATAGAAATCATTTGTTACATTATCTGATCCTATGTTTATAT